GACGATAACGAAGGCAGCCTGCGTTCCACCGATCAAAGCGGAGGTGATGCAGCCCAGGACGAGGTACCACTTCTCTGGCGCATTTAAACGCAAGAGCTCCAAGAGGGTGTTCGGTTTCTTCTTCACTATCTAACACATAAAGTAAAGTAGGGAACATCGGTAATTAAAACGAACTGTCATGGAGACAACGGACCTCAGGGCTCTCCCGAACTGCTTGTGCACCCAGCAGCTCATTCCCACCAATCAATCAACCTACCTACACAAACATCAGTCCACCCACCTATTCAGTCATCTGCGGCAAAATATTGCCCACCCATCCATTCATCATACACTCTGAAAACCCAACCACCACTTCATTCAGTCATTCAGCCCACATAATAATGTCACATAAAGCAAGTGAGTCGGCAGCCCTCTTAGTCACAAAGTAAGTTGACTAGAAACGAGTCGTGAGACCTCAGATACGAAGTTGAAAACTAAGAAAAGACAACCGGGACATGTAATGCAAACAAAGGGAACACAAACCACTCCCTCTGACCCAGTGGAGGAATACGAAGAGAGATCTCCACGTCCTATTGCCTGCTACATCTACTGGCACTCCAAAACCAACTTACGATGTCATCAACCGATTCACTCAGTGAGGACACGACCGTCTTCCTTCAACATCACCATCTTCATCGAGCTGAGGAAAACAAATTTGAGAAGTTTAGGGGACATTTTGCCCAAACTGATCAGGGACTAATAAAGGCTCATCAAACAAAAACTCACCTCCTTCAGATCACCTTTGCCTTCATCCTAAAACGTGCACAGCAGAATAACCCATCTAACCTCCCACGCTTTCATGAGCCTAGCGATCCGCACAGCAAATCATTAACTGCAAAAACGCATTAGAGTTATGTCAACTAAAAAGTACATCGAAAGACCAACTTATTTGACCGTTATTTCTAATCGAAATGACTAACAGGTCAACCTGTGCAAAGCAATCAACGCAACTGCCCAATGAAAGTGGTAGAGATAAGTATCTTTGACTCTGTCATCAAGTAGCTCGAAGCCCACATTCAAATGGGCTCCCATGATGCCCGCCGGTACCTTCAAGACTCCTCCCGGACTAACGCAGAACAGTGATCACCTCTGTTTTCCTTGTAATCCGGTAACAAAATTTGTAATGCCTGATCAGTTGAAATGATATAAAACTGCACAGAAGTCCAGAAGGTGAATCTGACTGCGTAACTACGAAATACAACGAGTGAACCACACTTTTCGAAAGACTAACCTGTTGAGTAGCTCTAATGATGCTTCCCGCATTGTCGTCGTCACTATCATCATCTGACTCATCCTCCTTCTCTTTCAGCTAAAAAAGAGGCATTGAATTAACCACTCACTTCTACTTCTTGCACAATGCAATACTAAGGTGTTGAATCAAAATAAAATGCGTCTGCAAGGCATAGCGTCCTCTAGGGAATGCATCGACAGCAATTCCAAATGTCAAACCTACTCCACGCATCACCAAATTGGCATACACTCCAGCCCGCACCATCAACTCCTCATGACTGCCCGCCTCCACCACGCGCCCTCTCTCCATCACCAATATCACATCTGCGTCTCGCACCGTCGACAGTCTATGCGCCACTGTCACCGTTGTCCTACCCTTCCTCGCCTCATCCAATGCCACTTGCACCGCCTTCTCCGACCGCGTATCCAACGCCGATGTCGCCTCATCCAGCAACAGCAGTTTCGGATCTCGAATAAGAGCTCTCGCAATAGCCACCCGCTGCTTCTGACCTCCTGACATCACCCCTCCACCATCCTGTGCCACGAATACAGTCTCGTAAGCCTCGGGCAGCCTTGAGATAAAGTCGTGAGCGTGTGCCAGTTTGGCAGCTGCTTCCACCTCCTCCAATGTGGCATTTGGCTTCCCCAAACAGATGTTCTTCCTCAATGAGCCCGCGAAGAGAGTGGGCTCCTGCGACACCACTCCGAGACAGGATCGCCACCAAGCCAGGTCAAGATCACGCAGATCCACACCGTCAACTGTGATCCGACCCGAGTCAGGATCATACAGACGTTGGAGGAGTTGAACCAACGTACTTTTGCCTGAACCACTGGCGCCGACGATGGCGAGATTTTGACCGGGTCGGAGGTGCCACGAGAAGTGATCGAGGACCAGGACGTCAGGGCGAGTGGGATAGGTAAAGGACACATCCTCGAAGACGATGTCGCATTGGAGGGTCGAGAGGCGCACCTTTTCGTCGTTAGCCATCTTGTCGATGGGAGGAATCTGCAGAGAGGGAGGGCAACATGGATAAACCGTCGATGCTAAATTGACCAAGTGCCTCAACATATTCACCACCAGCTTCATATGCTTGACATCTCCATTTCCGTAAACCAAGCACAGCATCGCAGTATCATTACGATAAGTGTTTAGAAAACATCGTGATACAGTAAAAAGGGCGTAAGATGCTACTGATCTCAGAACGATTACAACTCCCAGTTCTAAGGGGGTAGTTAAGTTGAATTAGTGTGGAAAGAAGATAATGTGGATAGATGGGTGGAATGAACATGGAAAAATTGACGCGGAACGGCAGTCATCATGAATGGATAGTCGAGAAAGTGATGAGAAATTAAGCACATCTACGTGAATGGAAAAAATGAATAGAGGATAAACGGTATACATGGACGGATAAACACGATGAACAAATGTCGATTAATAGGAGAGATGAAGTGGGTTGAGTTAATCACCGAATGTTGTACATCGCTCTCACCCGATCAATGATGGGAAAAATCTCGCTAGCGGCGGTAACGGCAAAGTTGAAGTGCTCAAACTGCTGGAAGGCCTGACCCAC